GGGGGGCAGTACTTTGCTTTGTTTTTCCCCTGTTGTGTTTCAAAGGTAATTCAGTTAGAATTGCTTCTGTGTAGTTTTGGGCCAACATATGTTCATGAGACAGTGGTCTATTTTCTTAAATTCTATTACTGGCTTCACAGAAGCTAACTTGTCAGGGATACTCATTAAACCAAAGCTTCATTTTTAAGAAGTTAAAGGAATAGCTCTAATGAATATATGTTAAAAACTGTATCTTGGGAGAGACTTCAGTAATCCGTAGGATGGGAAAAAAAAAATGAAACAAATTTATATTCCTCTATGAATATGAAAAACCTTCAATAAAGTGAGAATTTTTCAATACTTTTGTTTTTGTTCTATTTGAGTATAACTTTCTGGTATTGCTATTCAAAGAATTTGATTAAATAGTTTCAGTGTTCTATCTCAATTGAACCAGTGTATATTTGAGTGTAATACAAATGACATTCGCTAAATTGCACTGGGAAAAATAATTTTGTGCTTTAATATGAAGGCTGCTCTGAAAGTAATGACTCCTATTTTATTGTGTTGGCCCATGACATCAGACGTGTTATGGTGTTATGGTTATTGGTGTTATGACAGTAGAAGTTGAAGTTTTCCAGCTATATTTGATTAGGTTTTGTTGCCATGTGACAGATGGCAGCAGAGGGGCAGTCTGACAAAATGGTATCTGACACAGAAGTGCATATAAAGCAAGGGTGTGTCATTGAATTCCTCCATGCAGAAGAAATGGCACCAGTTGACATTCATCAACACTTGCTGAATGCTTATAGAGACCAAGCAGTGGCTGTGAGCACAGTAAGGTGGTGGGTGGTGCATTTCAGCAGTAGCAACAATAACGTGAAAGACAAGTCATGACAGACAGCCATGCAGATTTTTACAAATGCAGCATGAAGGCTCCTGTTCATCGTTGACAAAAATGCATAAGGAGAGGTGGTGACTTTATTGAAAAATAGCATTTTGTAACTGAGAATTTACTCTATCAAATAGTGTTATTGTTGTGGTTTCCATGGAAATAAATAGCTGCCTATACTAGCTTATTTTTTGAATAACTTAAGTAGAAATTCTAAAATTATATGTTATTGCTTATTTTACTTCTTTTACAGTATTTTATTCACAAAATATTTCGTTAACAGTGTTCTAGTTGAAGAAATAGTACTTTACTATAACCTGGAGTTCTGACAGTTCCCAGATGTGATTTGTATATGACTAATTAAGCCCTGACAGCTTGCCTGCATTTATTCTTTTCTCTGTAATGTCTTTTTTTCTTAAAGGTTTGTGCCTGTAGATGCTTACTATCCTCCTGGTTCCAGCAAAAATGAGTGCCAGTGCATTTGCTGCATTTCTGGCCTTCATTTAAAACTTAATACAAAACATTATTTTGCTTTTCTTCCTAAAGCATCTTATCTGGGAGGCACTTTGTGAATATAGCAAATATATCATCAAATGCAATGTTCTTTGTGGTAAAGCAGTTGCAGTGAAATCGTAAACAACATGAATACAGTCTCTGTTTCAAAGCTGTTCTTTCAGCCACTGTCGGTATTTTAATATTCTAATATTCTAATATTAAAAATAAAATAAGAGTCAACATTTTTTTAGGCAGCAAACCCCTGTAAGTAGAATTGTGAATTATTTATCATGTAAAGATGAAAAAAAAAAAAAAAAAAGCTTTTTAATGATATTGTATTTTCTTACCTGAACAAAATCAAAACATAAAAAAAAAAAAAGTCATTCTGGGGAAAAGGGTGGAAATATTTACTTTTTTTTTTTTTTTTTTCCAAGCACATGATAAAGCATGTTCAACAAAGGGCAGTCATTTCAGAGCTACCATGCTTTCCTGAGGCTTTTCAATGCTTAAGAAAGTTTTAAAAAGTATTGCATGTAATTCTGGAAATGATATAACTCTTACATTAATATTCCATTTTCATTCTCAACATTTTCTCAAATTTGTCTTTTGACAATGGTTAATAACAATGGGATAAAAATAAACAATATGAAATAATGAAATCTATTTCTTGTGTAACCTAAAAAGAATACCTTATCTTGAAAGAATACTTAAACTTAGAGATCTTTAGAAACATGAAATTTAAGAGCAAGTGGAAAACATTCTACAGCTAAGTCTTGCAGCTTCGCGAAACTAATGAGATTTTAGGACTTTAGGATTTTGGGTTTTTTGGTCTGTTTTAAGGGACAGAAAAAAACATCAGGAGATAATAGATATTTGCTTCTGTCCATAACTTCCAGTGTAAACAATATTAATTTTGTCTATTCATAGAACCATAGAATGGTTAGCAAGATATATTTTTTTTAACATTTATAAGGTTATAATACTAAATTTAAATAAATGTGAGTAATAGAAAACTTAGGTAGAAAATAAAGGTTGTAATGTAAGCTAAATGCAACTCATTTGGTGAAAGGTTTCAGTGGATTTGGCATAAATCAAAACTCAAACGATTTCACTTCAGAAATGCTGTAGCTTTGCATAGCTTTACTGTACGTCAGAAAAAGGTCTCTTACATGTGAACCATGTCTCTTCATCAGTCTAGATAATGTTGTACTAAGTTGCTTTATGTACATCATCATGATACCTATTTTTTTTTTTTTTTTGACTGTTAAACAATGTATTGATTTCATTTTTGTTTGGTTTTCTTCACATAAAAATGATGATGAACATTGTTTGTCTTACAGTGGTGAACTGTTCTGATCCTGGTTTTGTTGAAAATGCTATTCGTCATGGCCAACAGAATTATCCTGAAAGTTTCAAATATGGGACAAGTGTGGCATACCATTGCAAGAAGGGCTTTTATCTGTTGGGCTCATCTGCTTTGACCTGTAAATCTAATGGCTTATGGGATAGATCACTGCCAAAGTGTTTGTGTAAGTATTCATTCAGTCTTAACAGTACTCATGGAGATTTAACATTTGAGAATGGTTCACGAATTTTAGTCATGATGAGAAAAAAATTTGTAGTTGTACTGAGGAACATACTGCAAATTCTACAGTTCAGTAAAACAAAACAAAACAAAACAAAACAAAACATTAAGGTGAGATGGCACATAAATTTAATTGTACATGTGAAAATGATTTTAGTGGGAACTGCGAAACACTTTTTTCAAGTGCCAGATAATAGAGATTGGTTTTCCCTCTTGGTGCATACCTGAAAACAACTAGAGAAATCTAAAATTATTACCATTTGTCATGTGAATACTTGTGCCAGCTAAAGGAAAGCAACAGAATCATGGAGCTGTGAAAGAGAGGTGGTGGTGGTCAGGACCATGCCTTTTGGCAGAAATCCATTGTGCAGTGAGTTTGACCTTGTCATTTGAGCTAATAGAACACAATTAATACGCAAATAATTTTAATGGATATATGGATATCAGGAACAATGCTTTTTTTTTTTTTTTTTTTTTTGGTATAAATATCTTTGACCTATAGATCCAGTAACTGATATAGCTGCTCAAGTTCAGTTGCTTTTGCTTAAGTGTTTCCTGTTTAGGTTGAGTAAATGTTTACTAGAGTTAGGAAAAAAATTAATTTCTTTGCTTTCCTTTCTGCAGTAGGTGACTTAAATTTTACACAAAATGCATTCAGAATTTTATTTCTGCCTCATATTTAGTTTATGAATGTTTCCTCATGTAACAGATCTGAACTTCTAGTTTTCAAATTATTCTATATCCAAACTATATACCTGTATAGGTGTTTTTTTTTCTCAAATAAAAATCACACATTAACTTAATTTGATTCATAATTTACCAAAGATCAGTAATATATTTTCTTCTTGCTTAATTAGTTCAATGCATTTTAAAATAATTCCACATTTGTATTTATGTATTTATTTCTCCATACTGTGCAAATTGTCTGTAGTTATTTTGTAGGCATGGTAAAGCTACTCATTATTATCTTACCTGTAATAAAGAAACACACTGCAACAATAACCTTCTTCTGTTCTTCTTTCCCATCCTTAACAGATAAAATGTGTATAGTTTCTAAATTAGAGTTACAAATGGAAAAAAATGAGGAAAGAATGCTGTGTATAACAAAAAGGGAAGCTAGATAACTTAGTTTTACATGTAGTTTTTATGTTTAGTATTACAAATGACCAGTATGTTATCTTTAGTTACAGTGAAACTTGAGAAGGAACAGAGTTCCAGAAATAAGTCTATTTTGTGTACCAGTTTTGTACGTAAAGGTTGTAGTAGGTTTCTCCTGTGTCATAAAAACATCTTAAATATTATGTCCTTTCCTTCACTAGCCATTTCTTGTGGACATCCTGGGGTACCTGCCAATGCAGTTCTTTCTGGAGACAAATTTACTTATGGCTCCATAATTCACTATTCTTGCATAGCGGGCCGAAGGCTCATAGGAAACTCTACAAGGGAGTGCCAAGAAGATAGCCACTGGAGTGGGACTCTCCCTCACTGTTCAGGTAGGTGTAACCACTGTCACCCAAATGTCACCTTGGAATTACATGAATGATAGTATTCTCAAGCAGTTTTTAGCTTTAGTCAGATACTTATTCTGATTCATTTCCAGGTATATTTTAGTTTCACAAAAAAGCCTCTCAGCTGAATTATAATAGTTTATTGAGATATTTGATAACATTTGTTCTCATTTTCTCTGTCATTACTTTGGTACATTTTTCTTTAGTTAGATGATACTGTTGGATATTGCGGTAAATAGGTGCCACAAAACACTGTTTAAAACTATTAAGAGTTCTGACTTACATGTATGCAGTTAGTCCCTGTTAAGTAAACAAAGATTGTCACATGTAAAAATGATTATTTATAAAACATCACGGCAAAGATACTAGCTGAAAAGCTTCTTACCATATGAATTGCTTTTCACAAACAGAAATATTCTTTATTAGTAGCAATAATGCAATATGCAAATATATAAAAAAAAAAAAAACTGCAATGTTTATGTGCTGTCAAGAAGCATAAGAACAGTGTATTCTCCCCCCTTCTCCCAAATTTAGAAGGAGCCATATAAAATTACTTAGTTTTGCAGAAGTGGAGTAACATTCCACATGACATTTTCAGTGTATTTGTGTAAAAAAGATAACCTGTGAAGTTGAGGAAGAAAATTTTATGAGAAAGTCGTTCCATTTCTTAGCATTATAGAATCTTATATTTTCCCCTAAGCCTTTGGACATGCTTACTGTTGAACTGATATGATTCAATTTGAATTTGATTTACTTATTAATTCAAATAGATGTAAGATATTTAAATTGTGTACTCTAAATAAGTGTTCATTGACAATTGTCCATTTATAAACTAATTCTTTAAGGAACAGGATTTGAAGCACTGTGGGAAGGAAATAAATTCAAATCAGTCATGTTTCCTTTCTGTTCTCTGCTGCTTAAAAAGGAAAGTTTAATTAGAGTCTTCTCACAGCTGTGGGACTCACTGCTGTCATGGTCTAGACCTGAAAAGATTCTCTGCAGGACAATCATGTGGATCATTTCCACACAGAATTGGCCTTTTCTTGCTTATCTTAAGCTCAGGTTTATGTCCATCACCTTTTTGTTCAGTAAAGGTTGCCAGATCTGAGATTGCATCAAGACTTTAACATTTTAAATGTCAGAGTCCTCAAGTGCTGTTATCTAATATTTCCCACCACAAGGGAAATTCTGATTTTGGTGGAAAGAAATTGAAACTCTTCAGATAATAGTCCTCAGTGTGATAATATTTTTAGAAACTTCTATCTATATTATAAAAATATAGTTTTTTAAACCATAAAAAATTATCTTCAGAGGTGAAAATGTATTTAGTGTAACTAAAACATTGTTATTGATGCGAAATTTAATTACCTAATTTTGAATTTGGTCTGAAACCATGTAGTGAGCAAGGGAATTCTGTAGGAAAAGGAGAGAACAATCTCTGTTAATTAAAAAAAATAATGATAATTTTTGAAAAGTTTTTGCTCCTCTTAAGCATTTTGAATTGTGTTAGTAACTACACTTTTTTTGGTAGGTACTCAGGAGCTGACTCCATTAAAAAAAAAAAAAAAAAGAAATTATATTCGTGATGTCAAAGAATGGCTGAACCTTGGACAAATGAGACAGTTAATTGGGTTTATGTTAAGGGAGCAGGAAAAACAGCCCTAATATAATACTTTAAATTTGTATTTGCTTGGAGGTTTTTGTTGTTGTTGTTGTTGTTTAATATATTAACATATGTTTGAATGCATGATTGTATAAATATGATCTCAGGATTTGTTCAAGGCTTCTTCCTGTATCTGAGAAGTATGGTGTATGGTGAAAAAAAATATATAAGAAAACAGAGTTCAACCTATGGAATTGTGTTGGAGTGTTTTGGATAATACAAAAGCTTTGAATAGAAATTCAATCTAGAGGTATAACTCTCAAAGAAAATAATGAAGACTGATAAACAAAAAATATAACAAAATTTATAATAAATTGTTGATATTGAGACCATACATTCTTGACAACCTTGTGTTGCACTTACTGTATCAGCCACTTCCTCTGATAAGGCGATTGACTGGTTAATCAGACCTACAAGATAGAAATAATCCAGCTAAAAGTATTATTCACAAGACAGAATCTATACTGCGACTATAGTTGCCTATAATATCTGTACCGATAATTCTGCTGTGTTGTATTGTTATAGGAAACAACCCTGGCTACTGTGATGACCCAGGAATACCAGCCCATGGCTCTAGACTAGGAGATGAGTTCAAAATAAAAAGTTTGCTTCGTTTCTCCTGTGAAATGGGTTATCAGCTGAGAGGATCTTCAGAACGAACATGCCTGCTTAATGGATCTTGGTCAGGTATACAGCCTGTGTGTGAAGGTAAGTATTCATGATGCCATTGCTATTTCTGGCACCACTGAATACTTTACAAATGGAATTGTATTATTTAATTAAAAAGGAAATGTATGACAAAAATATGCTTTCAAGTATTTCTGCAGAAATTTGATATAGTTTGCAAGCAATTTATATTTTGATTAAAAACAAAAGTCCAAACATTTAAGGTTTTATTGAGTCTGTGTTTATAAAAAAGACTGGGAGAAAATAATTCTAGTTCTACAACTAATGAGACTGGAAATAGAGAAAAGATACCTAGGTAAAATGTGAAATGCTACTGTTTGAAAACATGGTAACAGTGATAAAAATAAAACCACCATCCATCTTCATCTCTTTCTGTCTACTGTCTAGGAATCAAGGACTGAACAAATGACAAAATAGTGTTGCTTTCTTAACTGAGAACAATATTTTTCCACATAAGTTGATTTTTCTTAGAGACTTTATTTTATGAAAGACTATTTACATGTTAGACTTTTCAGAAGAAAAACAGAAAACAGTATTTCTGGAAAACACATGTAAGAATGAAATGAAAAAAGTAGTTTATGGATTCTGTAGTATCTCATGTCTGATATACTAATCTATAAACTGGAAGATGGTATAAAATATTATATTTTATTAATGATTTTATGTTAGATTTTATTAGCATCTAACAATTATTATTCTTCAGTATTCCTCAGTACAGATTGATTGTCTAACTGTATTAAAATGACAGTAGGCACAGAGTCAATATTTACAGGAGAAAATTGAAATTCTTCAGTGTCCTTTCTTGTTTTCTGTCTTAGAGACGTTAAAGATGACAGCAGTCAGTGGCAATCAGTGGTGTGTGAAATACTGCTGATTTTTGTATTTTTTTTCTCTTAAGCCTTATGTTTCCAGAAAAACAAAGAAACCTTTCTTTCAATTTTTCTCTTCTCCTTGGGTTGTTTTTTGTTTAGTATAAGTAACAATGAGATTATGAGGAAACCATTTTTTCAGCCCTGCACACACTGTGTAAAGCACATCACAGAGACAAATCCTCAGTTTATAACTGGTTTTATCTCAGCTTGCCATTAAACAGAACTGGTATTTATTCCAACTATCCAGAAGTCACACACTGTATAAAATTTTAGTATGTTAATCCCTTTGTTTGAACCTGTGATTGAGTGATTTAGCATTTGCTAAAGTAATTAATACAGAACATCAAAGACCTCAAAATGCTTATAAAACCCAAGAATATTTAAAAGGCTTCCTGCCAATGCATATTTCCTCATAGGCAGAATTGCTGGAAGTCACTTCAGAATTGATAACTCTGGCTCTATATCAGTTCTAACATTCCTATCTTTGGAAACTCATTTGGAATGTCATTGTCATTAGTCCTCATTGTCTTTTTCACTGAAGGTCTTGATGTTAAATGTTTTCACGCACAAATCCTTGAGAAAAGTTGAGATCTAAAGACAACAGAGAGAAGCCCAGGTATTCTCAGAAGCACTATAAACATCCCCTCATGCATAAATCTGAGAACTGTTGTTTCTTCTTGAAGACATTAAGGTCTCCTATTAGAAAGAATGTGCATACGATTTGCATCAACACCTGCAGTCAGTATCATGCATGGAACCATGGAAATCTGCATAAAATATAAGCTGGCTGGCAGTGCAGCATAAAACATAGCATTTCTATTAGTAATTTCTACCATCTTCAGGCTTCAAGGTGAACATCTGTAACAAACTTTTGCAGGATGCATGATCAGTTTTTTGTTTTTTTTTTTTTAATTTATTGTAACAGGGTTCTGTCTCATGTCCAAAAAGAAACAGAATCTCAAGCCATCATATTGCGACTCCTTGTCGTAGTATTTGCAGCTGAATGCTGGGAATTGTGGATAAATACCAGTACCTTTATTCTTCATATGATTTTCTCTCTTTTCTTTATGTTTCATTTTTATCTTTGTTGTACTGATTTTATCTGTGCCATACAGTAACCATTTTGCAAGCAACTCTTGATAGACTCAGAAGGAAATTACATATTAATGGTCAGCTACTCACCTGTAAAAGAAAAGCATTTGTGGCTGTTTCTGTTTGGATTAGCAGATATGAAGGATATTTCATTTGAAAACTGGATTATTCCAGAATGCATTCTATTTTTATTTCTTCGGCTGAGGCTTTAGTGGGCCATATGAGACCATTATCCACTGCATTATGATCAGAAGAGATTGTAAGATTTGTGGTTCTCTCCCTACTCATAAAAGCAATAGTCATTTTAAATGTTGCTGTAGGAAAGTTTGCGGTGAGCAGGTCAGTGCACATATATTCTTTAAAAAGCACCTCATACTATCCTTATGAGTTCAGACTCAGGTCATCCAAAACTCTAGTAACATACAGGACAATTCAAATACAGTGTCAACACATTGAATAATTAATGAATGGCATCCTGGCTTATATCAGAAATAATGTATCCAGGAGGACTATGGAAGTGATTGTCTCCCTTTATTTGGCACTGGTGAGGCTGCACCTTGAGTACTGTGTTCAGTTTTGGGCCCCTCACTTCAAGGAAAAAATGAGGCCCTGGAGGGTGTCCAGAGAAGGGCAACAAAGGTGGTGAGGGATCTGGAGTACAGGCCTTATGGGGAGTGGCTGAGGGAGCTAGGATTGTTTAGTCTGGAGAAGAGAAGTCTTAGGAAGGACTTTATTGCTCTCCATGACTCTCTCAAAGGAGATTGTGGTAAGGTGGAGGTGAGCCTCTTCTTTCAGATAGCTTTTCTATTTATTTATTACAGTTTGCTATCTCAACACTTTTTTTTTTTTTTTCTTCTTTTTAGAGCTGAACAGCATATATTTCTTTATTACTGCAGAGGGAGAGAAAATGGCTTCAAGTTACACTAGGGGAGATTCAGGTTGAATATACGAAAAATTTCTTCTCTGGAAGAGTGGTCAGGCACTGGAGCAGGCTGCCCAGGAAGATGGTTGAGTCACTGTCCCTGGAGATGTTCAAGAAATGTGTAGATATGGCACTGAGAGACCTGATTTAGTGGGCATGGTGGTGACAGATTGGCAGTCAACTAGCTGATCTTAGATGTCTTTTCCAACATTAATGATTCTCTGATTCTCTGAATGCCTTAGTAATCCAAAGCAATATAAAGACAAATCTTTTATTTTTCTATACTAAAAATGCAGATGGTTTGGGAGCAGGCAGGGATTCCTGCAAAGTAATCTGGAATATGCAGAGACACCTGTAACAGTTCTAGAGCAGTGAAAAGCCAGGACTATGGTATTGTATTTCTATCTAACCCACAAAACAATGCAATGGAAGTAATAATGAGAAATATACCTCTTCTTTTTTCCTCCTGTCTGAAGACCATAACTAAAAAAAGGCATTTATGATGCTAAACATCAGTAGTACTCAGAGTAAGCCTGGAAAAGAAGAAGTTTGGGAGAGGTCTTATCAATGCCTATAAATACTTGAAGGGAGGGTGCAAAGAGGTTGAAGCCAGGCTCTTTTCATTGTTGCCCTAGGACAGGACAAGAGGCAATGGGCAAAACTAAAGCATAGGAGCTCTCATCTGGGCACTGTCACAGGCTGCCCAGAAAGATCATATAATATATCTTTTTGGAGGTATTCAAAATACCACATGGTCATGGTCCTGGGCAATTGGCTTTAATTGACCCTGCTTGAGCAGTGAGATTGGACCAGGGATCCTTCCAGCATAATCCATTCTGCAACGCTGTCATTCTATTATTAACACAAATATTAAGTCTTGATCATTTCTCTCAGAGTGCAATAAATTGAATTAAGCCAATATGAGTAAAAGCAATAAGTAAAATAAATATTATATGTATAGTGTGTGATTATTTTAAAGGTAATTACTATCAAACTGTTGTTTGGGCAGATGTTAACCATCAGAATGTCTTTGCAATTCCATAAATACATTCAGTGTTAATGACAGCATCCAAGTTTTCGTAGTGCATATCTCTGTTGCACCTTGAGCAGAATCTGCAAATTGCCTTCAATTTTTTATTAGCATTATGAGTGAAATTCATCCAGTTCCCTAAAGAAGGAGGAGCTATGGTCTCTATACTATACTTCTGTGTAATGACTGTAACCTCCTACTCAAAATTACACTCATTAAGCATTTGTTTAATGATATATTTGCTATGGCATTTTTAAAAGGTAAGCTGATTAAAAAGAACTGATCACTACTTTCTCTCTCTCTTTTTTTTTTTTTTTTTTTTTTTTTTTTTT